CCCCCCCGTTCCCACCTTTTTCCAAAAAATTTTCCTTTCTTTGGGGTTTTTTAAAAGGCCCCCCAACCCTTTCCCCTTTTTTGCCGGGTTCCCTTCCCCCCGTTTTCCCCCCCGGGAAAAGACCCCTTCGAAAAAAAGTTTCCAGGGGCAAAAAGGTACCCCCCCCCTGGGGGTTGGGGGGGGGGGTTTTTTTCAAAAAAATTTTTTTTTTTGGTTTCCCCCCCCCGCTTCCCCGGAAAAACCCTTTCGGGGAGGGTTGGGGCCCCAAAAAAAATTTTTTTTTTTGGGCCCCCCCCCCCTTTTGTTTTTTCGGCCCCTTTTGGGGGGGCCTTTGGGGAAACGCGTTGGCCCCCCCTTTTTTTAGGGGGGGGGGGGGGTTTTTTTGGGGGGGTTTTTGGGGCCCCCTTTGGCCCCCCCCCCCCCCCCCCCCCCCCCCGAAGTCCCATCATCACCACTGAACCAACTTTTCTCTGCTACCGAAAGGTATTGGGTAGGAACGATTGAGGCCAACGCTAGAGTTTCAGTTTCGAATGAAAACATCTTCCAGTGTAGGGGTGTGTTTGGGCATATGTGGTTACCACAGGGTTCTCTGCGTTTAAGCTCGGTTTTAGCTGCTTGCCGCTCGCCTAGGCCATCTGCTGTGCCGGTCGACATGTTTCTCTACCAGTGGCGAGAGAAGGTTTCGGCGATGAGGGAGCCGTGACGCCAAGCGCAAGCCCTGAGATGTTGGCGAATAGAAACCTTGTCCCAGGGCAACGGTACTTGAGGGCGGTTTTGAAGTACTTCAAATAGGACTTTCGTCAGTCGTGACACCGCCCGCCCCATCCCCCTATTCCTCTGCCTACAAACACACACACCAGCCGGCGCTACAGCAATGTCTTCAGCGATAACGACGCCCAGAGGGACTCCCGCTCGTACTCCAACAACAGCACCAGCAAGCGCAACCGCAGCCGCAACTTCGACGGCGGAGTTGGAAGCGGTGACGGCCCCTCTTGGTCCCGCTCGGACGTTTCGCGCTCCCGTTCTCCGGCGCGTTCCTCGGCCACCGCCGCCGCTCCCCGCGGAGCGAGAAGGGCGGAGGCGGCGAGGTTCTCGCCCGCCCGAGTGGGCCGAGGTTTGTCCCCGACCAATCGTCCCGCCGCCGCCGCCGCCGCCGCCGCCGCCGCCGCGACGAAGACTCCCGCTTCTCCTCGGAAGGTTGTGTCGGATTCCACGCCGCGTGGTGTGGAGGGGCGTTCCGCTCCCGAAGGCGGCGGTGCCTCCCGCGGAGGTGGGGAAGGAGAGGAAGCCGCTGGTGCTGCTGCTCCCGGCGGTGGTGATGGTGGAGCCGCGTCCGGGGCGACGTCGTCATTGCCAGAAGCGGGGGCGACGCCCTCGGTAGCCGAGGCCGGGGGTGGGGGTGAGGGTGCGGGTACGGACGGGGAGGAGCAAGGGTCGGAGGGCGGAGTATCACGCGACGAGTCTGTGGCACGGAGAGAGAAGCAGCCGGGTGCTGGTGATGCTGCCGATGATGAGACATGTAAGCCGGAACAGGCGGCTGCGACGGGGGCTCCCGCCCCGTCCCGTCCGAAGAACCCGAACGACCTCGTCCGATTGTTCATGTCCGAGAGCGGCGGCGGTAGCAACGGCAGAGCACACACCGTTGGTGGCGGTGGCGGTGGTGATGGTGGTGGTGGTGGTGGTGGTGGTGGTCGTGTTGTTGACAGTCAGTCCGCAGCTGCCTCCGCCCCCGCTGACGTTGGCAGTGGTACCAACAGCGCTGACGGCGGCAACGGTACCGACAATGATAGCAAGGACGGGCATGTCGATGTCGAAGGTGACGCCGATGCCGACGCTCAACAGCACGTCCCAGCGGCCGGAGACGGGCAAGAAGAGGGACAGGGGCTCGAGGGACAGCACTGGGCTGATGGTTCTTCGGTAGGCGGCGGGGGTGACAGCGACGGCGAAAGCAAGTTCGGAGGCGGTGAGACAAACAGACAGACAGACAGACAGACAGACAGACCACTTTGTGTGTTGCGGGTGGGAGGCAACGGTTACTGGTAGCAAGGTTGGCAAAGCTTGTACGATGGCCTTGTAGACATGACATTCGTCTTCGCACGTCCATTAGGAAAATGCATCAGGTTGGGTACTATATTATTTCCACGGCCCTTTCGAGTTTGCACTTGGGCTATGCGCGGTGGTTCCCTCCTTCTCCAGCGCCGGCGTGGGGAACATTCGGACGTGAGCGCATTACGCCTTGTGCAGGTCCAAACCGGATCACGGACATGTTACACATGGAACTGGCTGCTGCGAGGGCTGAAATAATCGACTTTGATAGAGATCGACAGTCTTGACGGGCCTCCCTCTGTCTCCGGAAGATTGCCCTCTCATTGTTAGAGGGCCAGCACTGCTGTCGCAAGATGCCGGAGACTTCCTGACAGGCGCCGAGGAGTGTACTTGTCGCGCATGTGCGAGTTGAGAAAACAGCCTGGGGCCGGAAGCCTCGCCCAATACGCAGCAGCGGTTCACTGATCCTGAACTCGGGCCCTGCTGTTGGTTTGACGTCGTCATCGTTGTAGTGGTTATTGGCTTGTCGTTGAAGCTCTTCACGCCCCATAGATCGATTTTCAAAGCTCGACCACTCCACGAACAAGAATGCCAGAACACCATTGATGTGTTCTCGGAAAGATCTCGACGAGGCGGTTCGCACGCCGCCATTTCGGCACCGCCGCTCTTTCTGTTGTGGATGTTCGAGGTTTGAGAAACGGTCCAGGGGGTGTGGTATCTTGTATCACCTACGTTTTTGGCTTGTCGTCGGAGCTTTCACAGGAACGCTCTTGCCTCGGAACGTCCACCGTTCCGCGTGCCCCCTTGTCGGTCTGACCGTACAATAGACACACAGCACCCCTGCCGTGGTCAAGTGGTAAAGTGACGACACCAAGAACCCGGCCCCCAACATGCCATGCCGAGAAACCGATATCTGGAGCGTTGTCAATCATGATTGGTTGCTGCGCTGACGAACGCGACTGTTGTGTGATTGCATTGTGGTAATCTTGGCCCTTTATCGTAAACCCCACGCCGTGCGACTGCGGCTCTTGGTCAACCGCAAAAATCCCACCAGATGCGTACAACAACGATGCTGTTGGCGACGGCGACGATTTGGAAGCAGCTGGTGGCAACTTTGGGGAGGGGGATTTCCACATCGATCCCCGGGGAGACGGGAGTTTCACCACCACCGCGGCGCGCTGCTTCAAGGCAGTCATACACAGGTACGTAACAAATACCATACTTGGGGAGGCGATGAACGTGCGACTCGGACCGGGGGGGGACCAAGAGGGGGAGAAAGTCCGAACTGCATACCCTGGATAGAGCTGCGAACTGGGAACGCGACGGTTGCGCACGTGCACAGCTTCTTCTTTTTTTCAGGCGGGCGTGTACGACATAGAATACCCCTCCAAACGGAGTAATTGAACGCTTCTTTTTGTCGCCGTTCGACTGGCGGCCGCAGCCTCTTCAAGGTCTTCTCTCGGCTGAAAGGAATCTCAGATTTGAGGCTATGGTCACAGGTTACAAAGCACGATTCCTCTTTGTCCGATTGTCGTCAGTGGCATATGCATGTCCTGTTGGCGATGTTCGCCATCACACACCATAGCGTTCTATCGTCGAATGCCGCATCTGGCCTCGCGGGTCTGCGCGTCCTCACAGCGGTGACGATTTTGCCGGAGTGGCAATCGACATGAGCTTGGTCCAGTTTTTCGGTCGTTGCGCCACGGAAGCGTGGCATGGACGGCACACACATGTCCCTCGTTACCCCCGTCATGGCCTGCTGCACGCGTCAACAACACGTTGCGTTCCACCAAAGTCGGCAGCGACGGATGCATCCCTTCGCAGCTAAGCGTTGCGTGTGTGTTCACTGCGACACCCGCCGGCACCGTCCAGAGGCCTTTTTGTTAATGTCTTCTTGCACTTGGGGTTTTCGTCGTGACTCTTTTGGCAACCGTGTACAATAGGATCCCCGTGGCGAGACAAGCCTTGCCCCGAGTCCATGGCGGCTTCTGGGAGGCGTACTCCGTGCTGAGGGAGAGGGTGCTGGCGGCACTTGCGGCGGAGATGCAGGTGTGTTGTCGTTTGTTGCCTACGGTCGGGTGTCAGACCGAAAGAGGGTTGATTCAGTGAAAGTGGGGGAGTCGTGCATGCCGCAGTCGTTAGACCATTGAACTCGCATCCCTACAAGCCCGGGACGGAGCACGCCGGGTTCTCACCGGACCAGGCTCTCACATCACCAAGCGCGAAGCGCCGTGAGATGTTGGGCGAGTCGCATGAAGGGTGCGCTGCATCCTGCTAAGGGTGTTAGGCATCTTGTGCTTACTTCCTTGCGTACGGATGACAGCTGCGTATGACTTAATTTATTATCTGGTGCTTTCACTCCAGAGACAGTTGTAAGCTCTGTGTAACTGCCTCGAGGGTGCTTGACCAATTTTAACACAACGTGGTGCGATTATCCCCCTTGCGCGGAGTGAGGGTTCCCGACCCCGAATAACATAATCTACTCGACCACCATTCATGGTTACCGCAAAAAAAAAACAAAGGCAAAAAAAAACGGTAACCTGGTTGCCGAGCTCACGAAGTGATCGGCTTGTTTTACAACATCGCTGCCAAGCGACGAAAACCCGACCCCGATGGCAAACACCGGGCAGGGCGACTTGCTTTACAGCGTCGTTGCCAAGCGACGAAAACCCAACCCCGATGGCAAACACCGGGGAGGTGAAAGGTGCAGTGAAAGGGGGGGACGTGTTTTGTTTTTTTTTTACCGAGAGTGGTTAGATGTGGTGCTACATCAGCGTTGTGGTAATGCGTTTATAGGATGGTCGGGAGAAATGGGGGGGGGGAGGTCAAGCACTGCTACAACCCTCGAGGGTACCAAAAGGCGCCTCGAAGTCATCCCTGGGGTCTTGGCGATAAACGTTGGGTGCGTTAGTTGCGCAACAGGGGACAGAACGCCTACGTTTCGGCCTAGCATACGCCTCAGCATGTTCGGGTGCAGCAGGGTATTTGGACGGCGAGCAAAATTTAGGCCTTGGTGTTGGCAGGACTACCCTGGTGTGCACTTATTTCACTTGATGTATCATCATCTGGCTCTTGTTTGGACTAAATTTTTGGAAGCCTTCGCATCGGTTGTTCAACACATTCTCCCCCCGTCTCATCACTGTCGCCGCCAACGATCAATCGCGCAGGACGATTATCGGCCTCTGTACGTGACCGGACACAGCCTCGGCGGCGCGCTTGCCTCTCTGGCGGCCTACGACATCGACAAGAACTTCACGCTGCCCGACCCAACGACGCTCTACACGTGAGTGCGACGCTTCCTGCTACCGGCGCCTGTGATGCCACCACACAGCACTCCAGGGGAGGAGGAGGGAAACAGGGTGTACTCTATGCCGTTGTATGACGTTGACGTTAAACCATCCATTGCCGATAAACTAAGTTGAGCATGAGCGCTACCCTAGGCCCCAGCGACTGTGGCCTTCAGCCTCAAAACCAAGCCAATGCGCATGAGTAACCTTTCTCGTAAAACCGAGCCAACTTGGAGCCCCAGGACTGCTTACAATTCGAGCGGCTTTGCCATGACCTCCATTCGATCTTTGGGACCGGATGACAGGTTTGGATCCCCTCGCGTTGGCAACGGGGTGTTTGCGCGCAAGCTGGACAGCAGGGTGAAGCACCACTTCCGCCTCGTCAACGACGGTGACCTCATCACGGCTCTGCCTCGCTTCTTCGGGACCTACAAGCATGCAGGCGAGATGAGAGATGATGCCGATGGGAACTGCTGCGTGAGACGGGAAACGATGGGGGGTTGTGTTGGCGTTGATCTCTCTTGTGCATACCACAACATGGCAATGTCTTTGGCGCGATGAGATGTTGATTGTAATGGAAGGAAGAAATCGACGGCAGGTGTTTTGTGTTGCTCGTGAGCACGTTCTTAAATAGAGGGTGTGTCGGGAATGGTCGCGAGAGGAACAACCCTACTCCAACCCTACCCCACACCATGGCTAGCTGTCTTCCCCTCTGCTACGTATGCGAGCTTCCATGCCTACGAGAGCGTCCCGCTCTCTGGAAAACCCAGCATCCCAAGTCCACGAGATGGTGGACCACAAGCACATCAGTGATCCGGATGTACCGAACCCCGCAGGGATCAACCGGGTGGTTCCGTAACACGGGGCGTTCATTTTTTCACAAGAGCCTAGAGTTGGTCGCCTCTCATAACGGGTCTCGTTTTTTCTGCTTCCGTAACCACCAGGCACATGTGTGTGGGCCGGGGGGGAGGGGGGCCTGAGAACCTTCCCCTCCTTTCACCTCTGACTGTTTTTGTTGTGGTTTGCTCGCTTAGTTTGCCCTTTGTTGCGATTGCTGCTGCACATACAAGTCTCCACACGAACTTCGCTGTCGTTACGCGCTTACTTGGGCTACCTCTCGAGCACCCTGCGTTGCTTTTCGAGGAGTTATCCCACGCGTGTGTGAGACTGTTCTTTTCCCTTCCCGGTCCGGCCTTTTTCTGTCCAACTCATCATGCTCTGTCGTTCCGCCTTTTTGGACCCGTTTTGTTTGTGCTCTCCGCAGGCTGCAAGGTCGTCGTGGACTCGGAGAGATACGGCAACTTCATCGTGGCGCCAACGCTGGTGAGAATTCCATGCAGACGTGCAGCAACACGCACTTACCTCCCTGCTGGGCTGGTGATGTCGCTCGGTACCTTGGATACTGTCTGGTATTCGGAATATGCGCCCGAAAATGCTCTAGACTCGCGTGAAATTGTCATCCGGGTTGCGTCTCGGTAGTTGTGTCCTGGTGCTGGTAGCCTAAGAAGGGATTCGATCGACCCACTGACTGTCAACTGTCCAACCGCGACCTGCGAGTGGCCACCCGCGATATAAACCGGACACCCATTCCAGCGGTTTTTTCAGTCCAGCGGGTTCTACTCAACCCTCACCGTGACTGAAACACACCCTCTCGCCTCTCTCATGTTTTTTAGGAACGGATCTAGTCTCTCGTGGTGTTTGTAAATCTTCTAACAACGCTTCCGGCTGCCGCCCACCAAACGTGTCGATACAGCGTCAATATTTTTGTCATGGGTAGTGTGCTCTGCTGTGTCCAGCAATGGCCACGTGCGTTCTTGTTGTTCGCGAAAGCCACGATGGGCCTGTACTCCACACAGTATGTCAATGCCAATCTTGTCATTGTTATCGGTTTCATTAGGTGGAACAAACCTTCGGCGCCAAGCCGCTCGCGAGCCTGACTCCGCACCTGCTGAACCAGTACCGCGAATGCCTAGAGGCCTGCATGGAAGAGGCGGATCTGGAGGACTACTTCAGTAGGGGCATTGGGGTGAGACAGAGAGGATTCCCATCTTCTGCAAACGAAAATCCTTGGACTTTTCCGGCCGCGTGTTTTTTACTCTCGACAGCAGTGGCTAACTCATGGATCGATTTTTTGTTGTGTGGAGGGCGGAGTTTTGCTCGTGTCTTGCTGTTTACTTCACGGCGTGTGTGTTTTGCTGTTTCGTTGCCCTTTCCCGTCGCCAACGACGGCCGGCCCAGGTGGACCCCACGCTTGTGCCCGAATGGCTCAAGGGCAGGCGGAGAAGGCGCAAGGAGGATGAGCCAGCCCTTTTGTAGTCACACAGACGCTCGTGACGGGACGATTGGAGATATCCGAAAACAAGTAACCAGCGAAAGGTATAGTTGGCAGCCGGGTCAAGCGTCGCGTTTAGGGGCTGCAGAGAGAAGAGAGGCCACACGCAAAGTGTTGTTCCCCTACAAGACAGCGCGCATTCTGCGGGGAAAGGGTGACAGTGCTGATGGGGACGCCTGCCAATCGAACCAACGATTCATGGAGAATGCGGCGCCCACATGTGTTTTCGAAGCATGCCCTGTTTTTCATATGCCTTGCTGGTATACCAAGTTACAGCAGCACGGACGCTTGACGCTCGTCTCTTGCGTTCGCGCTAGTTTTTCGGAGAATGTCGCTTCTGCAGCGGCCAGGTGTTGGAGAACGAATGGGGATCATCCGCGGTGTTTTTGTGTTGCGCCTTTCATGTTCCGGCCGAGTGGTTTTTGTTTGTCTTGCTGACCTCCCTGCTGCGCTGACTGTTGCTTGTATAGGCTTCTTCGTGTGGATCGGAAGGAGTCGCTTCGTTCAAGTATCAGGCGTTTTTGTTGAAGCGCAACCTATTGTTTGTTTTGTAAGGTATCTGTATACATCAGTGTTTTCCCAGCCTTTTTTGTATCCGGGCACATGGCTTGCTCGGGGTGCACTCGTTCCTTGAGGAACCGATCCACCGACCGAGCGTGCTAGCATATTGGACGGTTTGTTTGCATTTTCAGTTGAGAACAAGGGCGTAGAGGTAGCTCGTAGTCACGAGTAGGCGGAGTAGAGTAGGACGATTTCCGTTGCTCTCTGTGGTTTCGCCTGCGGACGAAATATTTTCTCGGTTTCGATGTCCCGACTCCCAGGAACCGAAATCCCACAAGAACGTATTTTTCTGTATTGAGTGTTTGTAGCTTCAAAGTGCTACGTTGTCTCAGAACCAGGGTTATCGCGCAGGCTGGAGGTAAAGATGCACCCCAAAAAGCGTGGCGCAAGGTGTGTGCTGTTTGCCGTAACTTTGAGGGATATCGGGCTTGGTACTCGCTGCCCGAATCAACATTTTGCTGTGTGTTTAGTGAAAGGTCGTGGAAAGGTCGCGGTCGTTTTCTGAAGGAACCCTTTCTTGTCTTGGTGGGGAGAAACGGATGTACTGGGTTGGTACACCTCGTCCACATTTGTGTCATTTTGTGCGTAGTCTAGGCAATCTGTAGCTTGATAAATTATGTAGAAAACAATGAAGGCGGGTAAAAGACTTTCTGTTGACTGAGTGGAAGCGGAAGCCAAGAATAAGTTTATCGGTGGTAAAAAAAGAGCGCCGAGAGGCTTCCGAACGTTTTAGGAAGACCATCCTGTGGTGACAAATGCCGTTGTCTCGCAATGCTGAAGTCGGCATAGCGACGATGAAAATGCTTGGCTCTAAGCGAAACGGACTCTTTCGGTATCGCGCCCACAAGGTTGCTCGTCTCTTGCAGACTTCACAGCCCGTGATAACAGGGCTGGATGTTGCGCGTGAGGTAGGGTTGTAAACACCCAAGCTCCTTTCCTATCGCCAGGGTGGTCGGTGTCCCACGTCACGACTCCGACACGCATGTATCCCTAGTTGGATCGCATCAGAAGCACCAAATTGCGGGGAGTCGTTGTCAAGTATCTGTTTCACTGTCAGCGGCGACGAGGCTTCCTCATTGAGGGCATCGTCATGCGCCTGAGACCAAACTCTGCGGTTTCAGCAAATACGACGTTGTTGAAGAAATTGAAATGAAATGTTTTCGATAGTGTGACATCCCAACGAAAATGGTATGGATCGTTGAAGAATTAGGCTCCACCGAAGCGGGCATCACTAACTTCACTCCTTCATCTCCCCACGATATTCATAGCCAGGGTGTTCGATGTCCCAAGTCCGGCGTTTAGAAGCCGAAATCAAATCAATGGTTTGGTTTCGACTTCTACAAAAGTTATTAGTCGTGGGGTTCGTGAGCCCCGTCACTTTCACTCTCGGGGAGGGTGACCCCCTTTGCCAGCTTCTATCTATAGGCGTCCCGACTGCCTCCAACAATCGGTTTCACTGTCGTAGCCTACGTGATTTTTTTCACAATTTTTCCATTCCCATGTCATTCACATCTAGCTAAAGTTTTCTGTGCCCCAGATCCCCTTGTGAACCCAAGTCCCGACTCCCACGCACATGTCTCCCTCGTTAGATCACAATCGCATTCGAACATACTGCCGGGCGTTGTAACGAAAGATCTGGTTCACAGTCGTGAAATTGGAAGTATATTCGTCGTTTATTGGTGGAACAGTTTCGGGTTGAAATTTCAGTAATTGTTCGGAAACCTGGGAGAAGAAATGCGTGGAAAACGTGACATTCACATCCAGGGATACCTGCGCCCGAAGTCCCGGTGTGAAACCGAGTCTGACTACCCCCCAACGATCGGGTTCACTGTCGCAACCTACGTGACAAGCTTCATTCTTTCTTCCATGTCCATGACCTACATATCTAGCTAGGGTTTTCTGTGTTCAAGATCCCCGACGTAATCGCGAGATTCCCAACTTCCATACTTGCACACATATTGCCCGCTGTCGATCTTCGAAGCCGCATGATGACCAATCCTCACAAATTACATCGAAACCTGACCCATTGTACATTCTTCCTTCATGCTTGGGCCGCAGACGAGGCCATCCCGCAGCCCCAGTCGGAGTACAATACTAGGATGTGCGCCAGATTTTCAAACGATGGACCAACAATCAAGCGGCGCTAGATGCTTCGGTGTATCCATCAAGGATGACTCCTCTTGGTACAGCTTCGTGGGGTCGATACCTATGGAAGACAAAAATAGGTAGAAATGTGGGGCAATAGGGTTAGGGGGAAGTTTCACCGTCTTTTTGCAGAGGGTGGTTGAGATTCGACACCTACAACAACGATTACCGGCACGCTTCTTCCCCTGAGAGCCTGAGTATGGCGCTTGGACAAATGGGACGACAGTCGGCTTTGAGATGATGAAACGAATCATTCTGCGCGAATCACCTTCCGGAGAGATGCTATCAGTGTTGCACCTCAACCTCCGAAAGCGTATCTTGATTCAACGTGATTGTTTCGCCTCAATTCCGAAGAACGAGCATCGCTTCTTCGAAATTGCGTACTCATGGGTTCGCCATTCTGTAGAGTAGCATTCCTCTCGGCCAACCTTTCAATACGAACAAGCAACGAAACGGAAGTGTAAAGCACGATTAGACCTGCTGTCCACGATCCATATAACACCCAAAGCGGTACTCTATGCTGGCACGGAGAGGGCCAAAGGCGTTCACGTCGGGGAAGCTGCTAGGGGCGAGATTAACGAAAGACCTCCTTGTTTTCTACCATGTACATGGTATTATAGAGCCTTCTTCGCGGGCGAGATGTTGTTGTATTTTGTAGCTGCATTCTTTGCTTGTACAAGGTTGGAAGCCACCCGAATGGACGACATATCGTCCCTGATATTGGCAGTCCTCTTCAACTCGTGCTGGGGCCGCAAATCAGTCTGTTCACCTCCTAGGTGGAACTAGAATTGTTTCTATCGTATCAGCTTTCTCCGTATTGGTCTTACCAGGTTAGCGTACTTTTGTGCCCCTCCCTTTGGCGACCCGCCTTGTCCTTGCTGATGCGCTGCCGGTTCGCGAAGAATGAAGCTGGACAAAAGGAAATGGTGCATGGGGGCTCATTGTAGGGTCTGCATTCCTACCATGGATACCTCAGGCATCCACACCTTGGTAGGTATTTGCACGTATCCTCGAAGATACTGTCTACCAGGCTGCCTGTCCCAACACGTGCGCCTTCGTCGAGCGTACTCTATATCCAGATCGAGGAGCACCGCACCTACGGTGGAAGCTCCCCTCAAGAGGTCTTCTGCTCCAAGAGCGCCGTCGCGATCCGAGTCGAGCCGCTGGTAGAGACAACGCGCCTCTTCCCCGCTTAGGTCAACCTGTCCGACACATCCAGGATACCATTGTGAGAAGAACGAATACTCTGGTGCAGGACCAACGGGATAGTTCACTGGGTACGTTGACAGAATTTCAGCGGGTACAAAATAGAGGAGTGGCACCCGTGATATCTCCTTCTGGGCTGCTGAGGGAGACACTCTTCAACGTCCCAACCTTTAAGCTACTGGTGGTGCATTTGTTGTTGGTTGGTGTAACGTCCTCGTGGAAGAATGAGATGGACGGAGGAAACAAACAACTCGCGGAACTCTAAATCTGTTGGACGAAATGGGCAATTGCCTTGTCCACCCACATTGTAGACCCGTCGAATTGTTTGTGCGAAATCCCTAGCGGTTTTCAAAACCCGTGGTGTGCGCACTGGCCGAGGTGAATTGACCACGGCCACCGGACTTGGTCTCCATCCCGGCTTCTCCTCTCGTCTGGGAGCCCTGCCGCCGAGACAGCTCCTTTCCGATCTTGGTGACGACACTGCTCTTTCGTCCACCGTGTCCTCGCTGCCACTCGCAGGTGACCATCGACGGCCATTCCCTGGGGGTCGCAGCAGGCCATGGCAGGTGCCCTTTTGTTCCACAGCGCTCAGACGTTCACCCTGTTTGTTTGAAGGGCAACTTCCTTCCCCATCGGACGGTTTCAACGCCAAATTGTCCGAAAGGATCAGGGTAGCCCGACGGGGTGGCGCACTGAGCGATCCACCCGTTGGCGACGGCGACGGTGATGGAGATGGTGATGGCGATAAGAATGATGCCTTCATATCTTGTTTCTGCGGCGCCGGGCTTGGAATTGATATCTCGCTTTCACTACGAGTAGTAGCTCCCTCGACTCGAGCGTGAGACACGTATTCCGTGGCCACGGTTGTCGATTCCGCAGGGGCTGATCTGGACGGTGATGCCCCCATTTGATCTGTTGGTGCCCCCCACGGTAAAGAGCAAGGATGTCGGTCGTGCTGCGACTTGCTGAAGGTATTGCTGCCATTGCCCTCGGAGCGTACTTCTTCCAACACGGGAAGTAGAAATATGCACGGTGAGAGAAAGCCACTTGAGCATCAGGAGAAGTGTTGAGACAGGCATCAAACGATAGGCCCAGTGTCCGCGTATTACCCTCGCGATTTTTTTTTGTCTTTTTGGATTTTAGGCTGTCTGTCGTGCGCATGTTTCAGGGTGAGCCTTCTCTAAGCGAGAAAATTTGTAGCTTTCATCGAGATGTTCCGAAACTAGGCATGGTTTTCCCAGCGAGTAGGTTTCGATGTGTTCGGCAGAAATATTTCCAGATATCGCCCAAGATTTCCGCTGACAGTATGCTCGAAGGAATATTTGTGCAGTGATACCACGAACACCTTCTCGGGGCGACCGCACATCCAAACTTGCAGTCTTATTGCTGATATACGTTGACTTTACCCTGGCGAAAGGGAAAGGTGATGATGATATATCTCTGTGAAAACGTTTCTGGAAGACCAAAAAAAGAGAGAATATTCTGAACTCGAGACGCAGATTGCTCAAATCATTGAAAATACGAGATATTCTCCGGGGAGATTTGCCTAAAATGTCGTGCGTCCGGGCGCAGAGAGAAAAAGAGACAAGTATACCACGGCCAGGTTGTCCAAACTCTGCTCTTTCTATCGGCAACCAAAGCAAACACTATTCACAGCTTCCCGAAAAATGAGGTAGGTCTATCAACTAACTGCTTAAGAAGGGTACAGTTACCCCCCCAAAACGACGCCATGCAGGCCGAGGTTTCGCTTCGCCGAACAAATCGTATCCATCCATCAAACCCTCGTACCCCACCTGATGCGGTGGGACTCACGTCCCGGAGGTTGCTGACCGTTAACACCGGTTTTCTCCCTCGAGCCCTCGTCGATGGTACCCCTTGCCATTGTCCGTCCGGACCTTTTACTGCAGTGGGGCGATCCAAAAGGCCGGAAGACTCAGCTAAAATAGTTTCTGTAAATAATGCGTGCCACGCTTGTAGGTCTGAGTCACTGCTGTTGGTTGATGAATTCTCCCCACGGGTGGATTTTTCCACCAGTCGAAGCGGCCTGAAACGTACGGGAGGCAAGAGGGCGAGGGTACATAATTCGTCGGTGTAGAGGGGTTTTTGATGTAGCACCCGACCCAGTAACGATTGACATCTGGCCGATACCTGCAACCCGGGCAACGCTTACATGCAGCCGTTAATGCCCTCATCGAGAGTACCGATGCTTGAATGTGCACACCTACCATTCGTGGTCATCGCGTGACCATCCGAGTGTCTCGTAGGCTTTTTCACGGATATGTACCGGTTGCGTAGTGTCCGTCTTACCGTGTAGGCTGAGCCAGTCGGCTCATGGATGCTTTTTGCCGATCTCGGGAGAAACGAGCGTCCCTCGCCTGTACAGTTGTTCTGGCGATCGATTCCTGCTGCTGGTGTTGTTGAAATCGCGTATGCCAGCTGGAGTTTGATCTTGGGGTAATTCTTGGCTGTGACCTGATATAGAACAAAAGATAACGTGGATACGGAGTCAGTGATCATAATCATTGATAAAAAAACAAATGATGTAACGATCGTGCCTCGGCGGCCAACTTCTAAAAAGAACTGTCCTGCGAAGCCGCTTACAAAGGCCGGGTTGGTACACCAGAGGAGTAAGAAAAGTTGGAAGAGTGACCAATAGTGGCAGGTTCGTACAACGGTTCGAACGAACGCTTTCTAGTGTGGAGAGGTTTCCGTCCCAAAACCTCTTCGCCGGACAGCCTCACCGAGCGTTGTCCCCCTCTATTTGACGGCATCGCTCCGGCGAAGGTACCCGGCAACGCTTCTTCCCTGATGGCCATTCCAACTCAAGCCCTTCCGACCGCTGGATCTCGCCAAGAGCACCCTCCAAGGTGCTGCTTCCGACCGACGCACTTCGACCTCGCGGGGTCCGTACCCTTGCGGGTGATGAACTCGCACGTGACGAGCCACAGGATGGGGAAGTACGAGGCCGTGGTGCCCCACCCCAAATTAGCCCTATTTAATACGATCGTGTTGCGGCCGAAGAACGCGAAATAGGGGTGCTCAGAGAGGACCTCACGATGGGCTTTTGAGTATGACGCAACAGGCAGGAAAAAACAGGAATTGGTCAAGGCTTACGTGGGGACCGGGTCAGAGAATACGTCGTCTAGTGGGTGCAGCACACACAGGACTGCTTGAAGGTATCTGTCTATGTCGAAGACGTAGAACGGCAGGCACAATCCTTACCTAGGCCAGCCAGACCTCGCACGAAACCATGGTGCTCGTCCAAGTCGTCCTGTAACACAATCAAGAACGACCGCAACCAACAACGCTCCACTCAACAGATTTGTAGGCGAAAGAGGGTCATATATGCTTGATTTCTAATATGCTCGACAGAAGGAAGCATCTATTGTCGAAGGATACAGCATGCCCCGGACGTTGAGAGGAGTTATTCGAAAAAGGGCAGGAGAGAACCCATTCAGCACATGTATGATATATGACGAGCTTGTCACCACTGAAATATGAAGCTGCTGCCTGCTGTTTAGTGGGTTGCTAAAGGGAACAACGCGATTGCCGACCATGCCATGACACCGTCGGCCTACCCACATGGGGGACCCGCATTTGCTTCACAACTGGTCGTACATCCACGACCGGCTTCCGGCTTACGGTTTCCGAGTTCACCGGTGCGCCCCTACCGAAGCCGATAGTTTATTTTGATCAACGTTTGTAAGTCTACAGCGTTGTTCGTAGCTGTACACAGTACTACATGACATGACCCACTTGGCTAGTGTGGGTTTCCGAGCCGCACGTCGAATACTCCGCCAGCCCTGCCCTCCTTGAGTTCCAAGTCGCACCATCGCTGAAATATCCTTCGGAGAAGGCATTCCTGACTCTCGGTGGTGTACTGCACGCTCTCCTGTCGTGACCTTCCTCCCCCACCCTGCGAAAGGGGCACGGTTCCAGCCACATGGAGGGCATCAAGAAAAGTGACCCATTCAGGGAAACCTCCGCCAATGTCTTTCTTCTCAACCGAAATATTAGGAGAAAAAATTCTCAGCGGAAATATTGGCAGCTCATACAACTATCTGCACGGTTCAAACAGAATCCTTGCCAGCTTTGGCGCTTGCCACAGACGCGACGCGCAACGTCGACCAGTTGTTTCCATAACAACGCTTGAAATAGCGCCATCCATACTTGCTTGTGTCTATATATTTGGTAGGTTATTCGTAGCGATTGTTTCCACAGTAACACCGCCGCAGCAGCGGTATATTGTGGGAACACGTGAATAAGGCGACAGACAGTGCTCGAACTTTTGGTAAGGCTGAAAATCGGTGCCGTCTTCTTCAAGACGCCGGGTATTCCTCCACCCCCCCGTTTCGCTCACGTGTTTGTCTTTGTTGCCGTTCGCATCCGCCACTTTTGGCTTTTTGCGATCCCGTCGAGAAGTTGGATAGATGGGAAGACCGCCAAGACCGACTCCCTATACCTGCATACGTAAACACAGGCGAAGGGGAAAAAGGCTTTCATAGAAGACCGGTCGGCAAGGATGATGTAAAAGAGTAGATGTGTTGGTGACCCTTGAGCTGAAAGTAGCACACCCTCCAAAGGCCTGAGGGTTCGTCGACAACAAGCATGCGTTCAGTTTATTGGTCAAGAGGATACGTAGTTGATTCAATTGGATATTGCACAATCCGTTATGGAGGCGTCAGTCGTACTGACCTTGGAGTATTTTGCACAGGATTGCTGTCCAAGTTCAGCTCCCGTAGGCGGCCAGTCCCCAGTGGCACTAACGGTCGTAAACCCGATAGCGTGCGTATGCGGTTACCTGCCAGATTCAACTCTTTGAGGCGAAACAGGGTCTCTAGGCCTGCGGCGCTTTCGATGGCATTGTTGCTTATGTCTAAGACCTCGATCGATCCACTTTGAAGGCGAGGCAGTCGTGCTAGGCGACAGTGGCGGATAGTGAGCGTGCATAGGCACCTTGCATCGGCCAGCACGCGCTCGACCCCAGCCAGGGTTAGCCCATCTATCCCGTGAATTCCGAGGCCAATCAAGCCGTCCAGGTGGTGCAGCAAGCCTGCCACAGGCAGTAATGACTCCAGCTGGCACTGCCGGAAGGTCAATGACCAAAGCAACGGGTCGCACATATCTTTCCGTTCCTTCGTATCGTCAACGTGCCTCGAAGGGGCAGCGGGTGTCGTCGGGATACCCAGTGTAGCCTCAACGACATCTGCCAGGCCCAAGGAGGTGACTGCCTGGCCTACTAAATCCACCCTCCGTATCTCGCCGGTGCTGACGCCCCTCCCCGAAGATGGTAGCTTAGACGGCGGTAGTAACCGGGCGTCGTTGCGTGTTTCTCTCTCGTCTTCTTGGTTCGGGTGATATCCAGGATAGCTCGTCTTGATTCGGACAGACAGGACACGGCCCGCCTTGCCTTCTTCCTCTTGAGTCAAACTGACAAAATCCTTTCGAAGAGAGTACCCTTGCGTGGCAGAATTGATTGCAGTTCCTTCCATTGCGCGACTTTTTGTTCTACCACACGACAACACACCCATGCTCGCTATCCGCCGGCTACCCTTCGTTCATCACAGCGAATCCGCCGCACGTTGTTGCTGTCTATCCTTGCCTGTTGGATACACTGCACATCCGGCCAAGAGGGCGGCGTCTTCGTTAATCGCGGTCTTGGGGTTGTTCACAGCAACCCCGCCGTCCAACGCACCAGCACTCCCGAAGAGACAACACCGACGTGTGGACAACCTATTTGCTGTATCAAGGGTGTATGAAACTTTAGAGTCAGGAGCTAGATGTATGTCCGTGTGTAGTACTCGCTTCGTGAAACCGCCGCGGCGGTGTTTGAGTCATTTGTGTTATGGTGCTACTTGGCCTTGCAACCCGCCTGTGAGGTCTCCTCCCGTCCATGTTCACCACACAATCTCCGGGCAGCTTCGAGTCTCTCACGGATGATTCATCGCTTAAATTCTCCCCCCAGCGCCAGACACTAGCCGCCGCGCAAACTAAACAAACGACGAAGGCGGAAACGCGGAAGGCGGACATCTGACACACAGCGAGTTCACTTGACGGTTCGGCACATTGACATCATCTGAGGTTACGCCGCCTTGTTGACAACGTGTGCTCGTCCGCTGCCGTGCTGTCCATAGACCTGTAGAGAGCCTACAGATGCTGTGCTCTCAGCTCTGGTACATGTAATCACCTTCCCATACTCCATATGGCTGTGCGTTGTCGACCATGGGCTATCGCATTTGTTCTATATGTCCGTGTGTCTGGCATCGGTGTCTGTCGGGCCGGCAGCAGTCGATCCGCAAAAGTGCAGCCGTTCATGGAGGCCCATGTGATCAATTTGGCTGCGCCAAAAAACAGAGCTACTGTAGCATGTTTGCTGTTGGGCACTCACCCGATTTCCCCTTTGAGGACTCTTGGTCGTGATTACCTCCTCTTCGTCGTCATAGTGTTCCCGAGACTACTCCGCTCGTCGCTGCTGCTGCTGTTGCTGTCGTCCTCGATCGTGGTGGGGCGAAGAAATCAGGCAAAAAAGTCGTCGGCTACAAGCACGGCAGTACCCTGCATGCAGCCTGTTCTGTCGTCGGCCCGGGGACGGCGTGCAGGTAGGCCGACTCGGAGGCGCTCCATACCCCATCACTTTCACCCATCCTCTTGGAACGCCCCTGGTGCCGCCCGCGTTGTCGGGCTACAGCAGTAGTCTACATGGTCTGTCCGGCCCGACGAATCATGAGCAGAGCACTGTCGTGGTACCATGTTCGGCGTCCGCCATGCGACAGAATGCTAATTACATCATAGCCTACCCCCTTTAGACTTCATCTTATGAAGGAGACAATGTCCATCGATGACTCAATAGCGCGGTGGGCTCTCAGTGCGATAGGGGGAGTATCGTTCAGAACGCATCACTCCTTACTATCACGTAGTAGAAGACAAACAATTTGAGCGATCCGAATTTGTCTGCGGGTCTTTTCGGGGAGGAATCGTTCTGCCGCCATTTTCCTGTATCCCTGCTGCTGCTCTTTGAGATACACCCTGAACAACCTGTTTCTGGTTTCTTTATTCGCTCGGTATTGCCTACCGCGCAAGAACAGGAGAACGACATGCATAAGCAGGGACTTCAAAAGTGCATCGCATACGACTCTTCAAATTACTACGCATTTCGATGCCTACGCCATCATGTACATCAACGGCTGTGCTACTCTTATCGTGGACTACTTCACATGACACCCGAAGGACATGCCTGCAAGGAGTGCAGTTTGGGAGGTTCAACATGTTCACCTTACAAAGTTCATGCGCACATCAAGTGAACATAAATCTTAAATTTGCACTGCCAATCCTTTTAACACGACAGTACAACTACTGTACCTGGACGATATACCTCGTCGAGACCCGGACCATTTACATCGGGTGCTCAACGCCAAACACGTAGAGTGCAAGAACACACAACATCACTTCGTTTAGCACCCGCCCGCCCTGGCTAGAGGAGGAGCGTCAGCTCCCCTGCTCTTTGTACAGAAAACATACGAATGGCTCCCTTTTGGCACCCCCTTCCCAGTAACACATAACTACAACAATGCTGTTGACACAGGGATGCTGCTACTCTCCACCCGTTCGATAATTTTAGGCCATATCGAAGTTTGGCATCCCGCTCTACAACATTATACAGAATTAAACAGGTTGAAGTATCTCAAAAACTAAATCGAAAAATCATTTTAAGTATACACCACATCCTACATACAACAGACCCACGAACAGGTGTAGGTTTCATTGTTTCCATACCCAATCCATCTTCTACAAACGACAAGCTTGTGCAGATTCTACCATGCCCCCCTCTGTTCGGCCTTATCGAGGTTTAGAGCAGTGCATTCCTGTGTGCAAAGCGGAGTCCCGTTGGCGAGCGCGCAATGCGTAGCATCGGCAACTACCAAGGAGGTCTCACTCCATCAAGAACGTATCCATCCAGTCTTTCAATCCTCTGTGGCGGCATTTGGCTGTTCACATCGAAGATCGACGGCGGAAAGACCACGCATCCAAACCCTGCAATCCTCTCAACTCCTGTGCAACGCCACCGAAAAACAGTCCGGACCGTGATCCTGTGGCTGAGGCTCCCGGCACGCTAGCCCGTGCGACATCAAGCTTTGGTCGACTATCCCCACTCGTACTGTCGCCGAAGACAGCGCACGCGGCGGCGACGTCCCAATCCTTGGTGTCTAGCGCCTTGAAGAGATTCTCGGGCGCGGCACTAGCAAAGATTTCCCGCATTTGCGAAATCCGATCGGATCTGCAGAAAAGGCGGGGGCAATGGTTCGATCGTTTAATGCAAGACACAACAGTGCAATGAAATCGACACAAGGTGGAGAGCGGATGCGCATCGCCTCATACGCGTCTACATCGGCGCTTCGGCCAGGAATATAAAGTTAAAGTTCAAATTCCTGACAAGAGCTTTTCACAGGAGAGAAGTCGTTCACAACACGACGCGCACATGCAGCAACTCATATCTGACTGCGCCAACCTAGCAAGTCAAGACTCACTTAACAAGCTCGTCGACTTCTGTCGGGAGTTGCTTCTCTTCGCTGGACGATCTTCCTGCAGCAGCAGCCCCGTTCGACGCCGCGCCTTCCGCACCACCTCGTTCGCCGTTGATACGTCCAGCACCTCTGAACAGCAACATGCGGTCTCTACGGCAACCGTCGTTCAATGGGCCGCCCGCCGGCGATGGCGGTGGAGCCATCCCATGGACGGCGCTATGAGACTTGATGGGAGGAACTGCAGCAGAATGTCCCCTCTTGGGGTTCTTTACAGAACCCAGCCCTTCATGTTTACGCGCGAGAGCATGGTCCGCTCGAGTCTCTCGACCGTGAATCTCACCGGTGTCCGTGGGGCGTTGCGATTCAAATTGATAGCGGGTCCTGCTGGCGCCAGCGGAACCAGAGGCAGAAGCACTTCTTTGCATGGCGTCCTGTCCTTTCCCGTCAGCATCTTCGAGGCGGGAGACATAATTTGAAGCAATAGATTGCCCTTCGGAAGCTGCAAGCCGTTTATATGGATCAGCTAGAAGGAGTCCACGGCACAGTTGCGAAACCTGCGGCGACATTGTATGACCCGTGACAAATAAGGGAAAGTGGAGGATATACCGGAGAAGTCAAACGGAATGTATGCTACGACAAAGACAATGATACAGCGGTGTGGGAGCCCAACGTGCGCCCAGGCGAAATCTCTCCTTTTCCCCCAAAGCTTTTACCTCGTGCCAAACCCATGTCAAATGAAAAGCAAAAACGGAGCAAGTGCTCATGGCGTTCCGCGAACGCCATGTGTGCCATGTGCTTGGTGTCACAAAATTGGCATGGTTGATCTCTCTCGAGCACAAATGTTCACCATGAACAGCAAACTTGCACTCCCGGAAAGAAACGTTTGTGACTCTCATCAATCACTAACGTCCTACAATATGCTGCGGTCACGTCGCTGAGCGGTATTGATGAACCCTGCCGATCCACGCGCCGCAAAAAATGCAACCAGATATCTCAAACCTGTACGCCAGGAGCGACAAGCCCCCTTATTCAGCAGATGGATTATTTCGTCACCGTGGAACCAAATTCAACATGTACCTCGAACGGGCAGCCTCCTTTGTTCTCCGGGAATATTGGCAGCGGCCAGGCTTCCTGGTTTGTTAGCCCTTTGGTCTTCTCCAAGGGGTCTGCCTCAGCCAGACACAACCAAACACGCCGATGTGACGTGTGTGACATTTTTGAAGGGGCCAAATTTCAAAGCGTTCACGGTTGGCGAAACGTACGACAGCAACACATACGAATAACGGCTACACACACAAGGAAAGCAAAGTTCCTGCAGACGTGTTTCAACGACGTATCAAGCTTTGCGGCACACAAAATATCACGGAGGTGGTCAGTGGATTTCACCATCTTCGTCGTCAACGGGCAAGGACATGCGTGCGTTCATAGACTGAGGGGTGAGAACTACGGAAATCTCGTGTATCCTCGAGAAATATTGTTGCTGTCTCCACATCGGTAGACTAGAAACGCGTGTCGGAATATGCCGACAACGCATAGTAGACGAGAAAATGGAAGGTACAACAATGACGTGACGATGACCACACCTTTTTCCTCCAGCCCTGTCCCGTTGTCGATGATAACCGAGTCAGGACGCAGCATCCGATACATGCATAAGCCCACGGAAAATACCTGATGGGCGGTAGCAAACCATTGGCAACAGGACGTTAGGACCCGAAAGAAACGAATACCGTACCGGAGTTAATGGCAGCAGCATTGTGACGGGACAACCTTCAGGAGCATGAAAGGGTGCTGTTGCCGAGAAGTCGGCCGTGAAACCTGCAAAATTGCTTCCGATTTCGGAGAAGTTAGCCACTTTACCAATTCCGATAGGCAATTGATGCATACAACGGCAATGGCTCTCCCGTGTCTTGTCGGTAATCTGAAGCACCCGCAGTTTCGCTTGCATACAAAACCAGGGAGCATTTCAACCCAGTGCAAGTAGTGGGAAAATCGTGAGCACGCGCTAGATGTCGTGCCTAGTCTCGACCCTAAGGACTGGAGACAAACGGCAGACTTACATCACTTCGCTTGAAGTTCAGAGGTGTTTCTTCCTCCCACGCTCGCGCGAGCTCGGGAGCGAGTGTGTTCGGAGCCCCTGCCACACAGTAATTGCTGAATGGGATCACCATCTCGTAGGAGACTTTCGCCGTGGAGCACACGGTACCCGTCGTCGAACCTATGCGCCCGTTATCCCTCTCTTGATCACCGTAGCCAAGCCGGTGTCTCTTGCTGTCTTGCGGGCCAGGCACACTGTCAGCGTGAGTTCCGGTATCACACGATGGCATGCCCGTTACACCCAAGCGCTTCCTGTTCGCGGAACCAAAATCTCTGCGCGGTACAAAATTTCCCGCTTCCATGGGCCTCTTTCTCCCCGTTACCGCGTTCGCTAACGGCTCGGCAACACCAGCACCCGATAGATCAGTGCCGTTGGAATCGACACTAGTGGCAGCAGCTGCAGTAGCAGCAGCAGCGGCAGCAGAGCCTACTGCGCCCGAGGAATGGCAAGGGTTCGAATCACGGCCAGTGACTGCGGCTTGCTCCAGGTCGGTGGAGGAAACTGCGGCTGACGCGTCCAAGCAAGAAACCGGCACCGCGGGCGAAGAAGGCGACGGCGTGCTCCAAGATTGTGGCGGATTTGAGGAGTCGAAGCAAGCGCCGAAGTCGGTGAGCACGAGGGTGCGCTGGTCGGCGCAAAGAAGCCAGTTGTCTGCAAAAATAAGAGTCCCAGCGTCATCCAAAGGCACGTGTTGGGCGGCGCTCATCATGCATCGCCAGTGGGCGCTGGCGGCGCAAGCACTTGGGAGGCGGCGAGGAGTCTCAACACTAGCACAGACATGCGATGGTCAAAGTTGCGACACCAAGGCGGAGGTGCGTCCAGAAACCCACGTGCGGAGCAGAAAATTCGCCGGTAGACACGTCAACATCGCCGTTACTCACACGAATTGTTAAATATGCCTCACCTGGTTTAATGTCGTTGTGCGCGACCCCATGAGCAAGGAGATGGCTAACCGCGCTGAGCATCTGCTTAAGAAATCGCATTGTTTCTAAGAGCCTCAAGAACGGCGGACCCTTGCATCGTAGACGCCTTTTGTTCAGTAAAGCCTGTTTGAACGACACATGTTCAGAGGATGTGGTTGAGATACTACCAAGCTGGGACTCATGGGCAGCAAGGAATCAACACTTGATGTGGCGTCTACCGGCACGGGGGTAACTTCTTCAGAACATCCTACGAAGGAAACTTGAGACATCGTGCGCGTTGACATAGCGGGTGCAATTTTTCAACCCTTCGCAAGCACGACCTACGTCGGGGCACGATATGCACTAAATATCTACGCTTTCACCTGATTCAAGATCTTTGCTTGCAACCTTTTCACCATCCCCAACGCTCGCATGAGTCTTGTGATTGTAAAAATCAAGCAATCACGCATATTCCACTCGGTATTGTACTGCACTTCTTGCCGATCCCCTGCAGAATTATTGGTTGCTTCGAATGTTTCAAATACCTGAAGAGACCCCGCGGTGAACAAGGGCATCACCACGAAAGTAGTGCGAGGGCTCAGCGTCCCTCCGGCGTCAGGGCCAAGCCCATCCCAGAGCCTTGGTTGAAGCTCACGCCCAATGGTATCCTAGAGAACAACATCATACGCCGTTGACCTTTTATCCATCGAGTCTGAGAGGAGGTATGGCATTGTCGACCATCCCACGACGGTTACCACCATAATGTGTCTGGCCTTTGAAGAGTCGAGGAAATCGCAAGCCGTCATACCTGAAAGCTATGAACGCCACGCATGATGTTAGGGTGCGGAGGGATACGTCCACCGACGAGCACGTCGATCTCGGTTTTCATTTCCCGCTCCGCCTGGTCGTGTCGGCGCCGGCGAGAAGGGCGTGTAGAGGAGGTTCTTGTTACTAAATGGCTGTACGAGTTTTGGCTACGGCGTTGTCGAGACGAAGGCAACACTCCGCAGGTTTGAAACTGCTGCGCACTGCTGCATGTCAACCCGGAAGCTGTTCTGAAAAAACAACGGAGACTAAATGTAGGCTGTCGTGAAAATATATATATTGTGGATGGGGCTCCATCTTAGCTATGGACATCGCACCTGCAATGGGTCTTTGCCAGCTAACGTGAGCACCATCTTAAGCGCCCATTCCGTATCTGCCGGCTTATCTTCAACCTTGTCTGGCACAGCAGATCTCTTCGCGTTGGCGGCCCCCTGCCCGACACTGCCGTAGTTCCCATTAAGGCAAGCGCCAAAGCTCCCCTTCCAAAACTGCTCGCCCATACCCATGAGATCGTTTACAAGGCTCCCGCTCGGAGGCGAAGTCGAACTCGGTGTCTCGGCACGGCGGGTACTTTTCGTGGCTGGACCCGCAGTTGCCGAAGGTAGAGAATGTGATGCAACCGAAGATGCGTGGGCATTGGCGCCGTCGGCACGACCCCTGGACGCGTGATCGTGCCGCCGAGAACACAATCTTACCCGGAAGACGCGGGAGTTCACCCCCTGGTTGGTACGTAGCGTGGCACACGAGAGGCGGGTACGGAATAAGTTTGATCACAATGTGCACATGCTACAAGCTGGAAAAGTCTGGTCAAAAGAGAGCTGTGTTTGCCATGGATCAGATACGGAGCGAGCGGAAGAGTCACGCCCAATTGCTTAGTACACAGACGCCGCAAACTAGAACACGTGCCATGGGCCACGCCAACCCTTAAAGCCGCCACGAAGTAAGCGTGAAGGAAGGAAGCGTGGGCCAGATGCACGACTGGCCCCATGGGGCCCAGGTCCGAATGCCCTTCCAGCAATTGCAGGTGCAAGGTCTATTTTCGGTTCTCATTTGGCGAAATCAGCGTGGACTTCTCTCTGCTCCCGTCTTCTGTAGTGCTACAAGGTTTTGGACGCTGTTGGACTAACTACATTCAAGAAGACACAACAGCAGTGCAGCAGTAGTGATATCCCTGGCCCTTGCGGACTGAGTCCATAATAATTGTAGCAGCTCGCTTGCATATTGTAACATACACGATGTGGGCACCGCGCACATGTACATGTTGGCGGAAATATGAACCAAAAGGCTCTTTACTTCTCCATCGGCCAGGCATTCACCAATCTCTGTAGAAGCAACACCTGTCAAACCAGGATTGTTGTCTATTACGAACCTCGGAGTACTATAAATACGACGAAGTACACATAGTACATCGTGCCGCTATAACAGAACGGCGTGGTCGAGGCTACTGCTGTAGACTTCCAAGTACAACGTGCAGGAGCTACCTACTGCTGTTGTTACAGACTTGCGAGATGCGACGGCGTCAATTTGACGTGATTTGTTTACTTGGACTGCACAACAATCGGCGCGAAAGTAATCCAACAATAGATACATTACATGTCTCAGACCTGAAAGCCCTCTCCACCGTCCCTCTTCGCTCCAAGCCGATCTCCTAAGTTGAAGTCCTGGAGCTTGACGTCTCGGAAATCGGTTGCAGTTGACACTTCATGAGGCGGCGTCGTACAACTGAGGTCGATCACCTCGTTGTCCTGCCGTGCTTCGTTTGGTGCCACACGTTGGTTAACAGCAGCTAAGTCAAGCGATGGAGGTCTTCGAGCCGCACTTAGCGCCATCGAACGCGAACACCCTAGGGTGCGGATGTCTCCTGTGCTGATGGGTGTCTCACGACCTGGCAGTTGCTTGAGCTGCAGCGCTGTTTGCACAGGCTGCGGCGGCCGTGGGGGGGTGCAAAGATGGTGTGCGGCGCCCCCCATATAACGTGCTTGCTGTGTCTGGTGTTGTGGGCAGTTCTGCTTGACAGTGCACTTACCATACCAGCTCAGTGCTGGTCGGCCGCGCAAGTTGCTGGTGACGCTGCGTTTCATGGCGGCTAAGATGGCAACTCCCTTGGAAGGAAGAGGGAGAAAGCGCAAGCGGCAAGTATCCTGGGCCGCGGCGGAACTGCTGGAAGAGGTTAGCTTTTATGCCGCACCACACGGTGACACAGCTTCCCTTCTAGAGTACATAATATTTGGTATAGGGAGGCTACACACACCAGCTATTTGTAGCGTGATGCGTTTCTGAGGTCGCCGCACAACGCGTGCATTGCTTGTATACTCACAAAGGTTAATCGGAACTTTGAGAATCCGTTGCAATGTGATCTTCCCAGAGCGCCCGGGCGTGTCGAGTTTGGCATTGAGGAGGCCTTTTGTACAAATATTGTGCATTCGTATGTATGCGTCTGCTGTGTACTATAGTAGCAACAGCATGTGCAGCAGTTTGGTGTTCAATTGAACTCCGTACAGTACACAGACACACGGTTGAGCCTTCTCGTTCTCGCCTCAGAGAGGGCACGTGTTGCTGACGAACTCGGTGTCTTCTCCAGTTTCTAGCAACCAGGACAGAAATACAACAGGTTTGTGTGTCTACTGGAAGGCATTTGGACATTTCCCCCCCGCCATTTATTTACCTTCGCCCGCCGTGCTCTCTGGCTGAACGCTGATGCGCGGTACGCTACGGATGTCTAAAAGCGCTCCGATCCTGGGTCACATGGAAGCGTTAGACGATAAATGTTCTGCCATCCCGTGCATCTCTCGAGTATTCCCCAAGATGAGCCCCTCGGGCGTGTACTATCGCCCTCGCTAAAAACAGGGCACAGGGAACAGGAACTCCGGTGTATGCGAGAGTTATCCCGCGCCCGAGAGGGGCCATTGCAGATTTTATTTTATTTTTCCCATATTTTTCTCTTGTTTTTTTTAACCTTATACATAGGGTAGTGCACTAGGCGCCGAGATCGTTTCATCTACCTCCTAAATATTGTCTTGTGCTGTGCAAAGCTACAGAATTTCTGGCGGACCCTTCTTCAGGTTTCCCGCCAACACCTTCTCCGTGCACACGTCGTAACTGACTTTAAGACCACAGCAGTTGTATGGGTATCCGTTTCTCTCTGCACCATTAACTGGTCGTTCTTGTCTTCCTGCACGCCTCTACAGCAGTAGTAGGACATGCAGTAGCACTGCCACGCCGAACGGAAAGACGCCTGGGCCCAATCTTACCCCCGCTGAGGGTTGACCTCTTTGTGGCAAGGAATTGCAAAAGGGAAATGGACAAAAGTGGGTATACCCACGCCATTCTCGGACAAAAGTGGGTACTCCAAAATCCGGCGCGCGCGCCTTCCATAGGCGACCCCCAAACGGCCCAAAACCCCATTCTGACACCTGGGCGACACAGCCAGGGACCATACACAGCACGGGCATCGATTTTTTCCCACTTTCAGGCACACCTTTGGCCCTAATACCGCCTAGGCGCGCAAGGCCTCACCAGAGTGCCCACTTCTGTCCGACATCGCGGTGGGTATACCCAGCGGCGCCTACGACTTTTTTCATGTACCCACTTGTGTCCATATTTTGACCCACTTTTGTCCAAATTGTACCCACTTCTGTCCACTTACGGACAGCGGAAATCGAGCGGAAATCGACCTCCACGTCACCGCACGGCACAACATCGAATAGCCTCGGAACGTCTCAGAATCTCCCAACACCGTATCCATGGCATCTTTCCTATCCATGGCTGCCGACTGCGGACCGACCGCGGAGGAACATGTCAGAAACATGCCAGACCCCTTCGGTACCGGCACGGGAAGATACCCGCGGCAAGCCCGGCAAGCAGCGCACTAACGGCACGCCACAAATAAAGGCGTGACACACAACGGACAACAAAGCCAACGGGCGCGCATACAGCAACACAGACACACACATGCGCCACACACACAAAAAAACAACGACCACCACCACGAGTGCACACCGACTCACTCGTGAGGGCAGCAGCAGCTGGTCGAGGCAGTTTACCACGCAACTACGTCATGTTTAAAAAGAGGGTATTCATATGCACTACATGTATGTATATACCAAGTGAAAATCCGACCCGATATCCCGCGGTCGGTCCGCAGTCGGCAGCCATGGATAGGAAAGATGCCATGGATACGGTGTTGGGAGATTCTGAGACGTTCCGAGGCTATTCGATGTTGTGCCGTGCGGTGACGTGGAGGTCGATTTCCGCTCGATTTCCGCTGTCCGTAAGTGGACAAAAGTGGGTGCAACTTGGACAAAAGTGGGTCAAAATATGGACACAAGTGGGTACATGAAAAAAGTCGTAGGCGCCGCTGGGTATACCCACCGCGATGTCGGACAGAAGTGGGCACTCTGGTGAGGCCTTGCGCGCCTAGGCGGTATTAGGGCCAAAGGTGTGCCTGAAAGTGGGGAAAAAACGATGCCCGTGCTGTGTATGGTCCCTGGCTGTGTCGCCCAGGTGTCAGAATGGGGTTTTGGGTCGTTTGGGGGTCACCTATGGAGGGCGCGCGCGCCGGATTTTGGAGTACCCACTTTTGTCCGAGAATGGCGTGGGTATACCCACTTTTGTCCATTTCCCAAAAATAAATTCCACAACCAACTTTCGCTTTAACACCGCCGGTGAAACCATCGGGGCTGCCCTCGGTCATTCTCTCCCGTATTTGCCCACCGGGGTACTTCTCCATCTACCCGTCAAATGTTCGCCTTACCGCTATTGCCGACGATGGATACCATGCTCACGGCCGACGGCGCCCTGTCTTTTTGCCCGCTCTATTTCGTGCTCATGCGGACGTCGAGTGAGTTGGTTTTAGGTTGAGCACGGGGAGAAATGGTGTGTCTTTCCTTCGTCCTTCTTCGCTTCTTCTTTCATTTCACATCCATCCATGGATGGACTTCTCCATCATCTTCATCACCGCCCCCAACTACATCATCCTCGACCCCACACATACATACCCTCCCTGGGGAACAAGAGAAGGGGCTTCAGATGAGGCCGGGGCTACACCCGGGCTATTATGACACATACACTATCATCATAGCCCCACACATACCCTCGCCCGAACCTAGAGAGCCACTGGTGCAAAGGTAGGTGTGTCCTGGTGTGCTTGCGTGCTTGTGGGAATTGTGAGAAAATCACAGAGAGCTGCAGTGAGCCGGCAGGGCTCATATTGGGGAGGGGACAGAGAAGTACAGAACAAGAACCAGCTATGGGTCTACAAGCCCTCTCACTGATCATTTTCACTGATCATTTGAATATAGTAGTGTAGGCGGTCTGACGACTGATCTTTTCGAGGTCTACAAGCCTAACCTGCCCTACCGGCCGCACCGCGACCACGCATCAACCCTTCTATGACCCTGTCTGTGCCCACCTTCCTGTCGCGGGCAGCCCTCATGGGCTATGGGTGGAGATAGCTGTTGCGTCTACAGAAGTACACTCGTCTCTTTTTGCTGTACTTCTGTCTCTCTCTCCCGCACTCTCTCCTCCCGTTTTTTTTTTTTTTGCCGAAAAAAAAAGAGCTAGACCCAAAGGGGTTAACTTCAAACATCCACATGTAGCATCGAGAGGGGTAGAGGCGGGTTACGGCAACTTTCCAACGCCACCAGCAGGAGCGGACGAATGAGAGATACATTTAGTTGGTGCGGGAGACGGTGATGCAGGCTTGCCCCGAATGAGACTGGTGCCCGTCCACAACAAGAGAGGGGCGATGCATGACAGTGACGCGGGGTGTGTATGAAAGCAGTCGATGACTGAGAGGCGCCGCATTGGTGTTTATGTGAGAAAGGGGCCCTCTAGGAGTTTTTGGAGGACTGAATACGAGAGGGGCGGGGCTCCGTAGCAGTTTTTCGAGTAACATTGACCAATCAGGACACAGCAGCACCGGTGTGTTGACAAAACAGGGAAATAGCGGGCACCCTACTTCCGATCCCAATCGTTGAAAGTGCGCCCACGGTTGTTGTTGCAGCTTTCAGCTGAGTCGGATGGGAGGGCTCTTGCTCCTCGCTTGTGTAAGTCGGAAGCCGTTAGGGTGGGACTTGACAAGTGTGTGAGCGAAGTATTTCAATTGTATTATTTCGTTCTCGCTGTTGGAAGCTACGCTTGTCTGGCTGTTCGTCGCATCTACTCTGGACCGGTGTGGGGCGATCTACGGGCGAATACCCAGATCGGGGATAGAGGTTGTACGTGGGCGAGTAATGTATGACCGGGGTATTCTCCTGGGTATGTATTGCACCCTGACCCGATATTTAATGTGAGTTCTGTGACACTTCCAGTACCCTACCCGGAAAATCTGTGAGTTCTACAAGAATTTGTGAACATGCCCGTTTTCTTCTGTGACTGTTCTGAATCCCACCTACCAGATTACTTCGGTTCAGTTCTGTTACACTTAAACCACCCTACCCAAGACTTTCCTGTGAGTTCCGTAACACTTCCAATGCTCAACTCACTTTTTTTGTACACATGCATGTATGTGAACATACCTGAACCTTCTGTGGGTTCTGTACGAGATGTGCATATGCTCAACAATCTCCGTTGAGCTCTGCCACCCTTCCCCTTTCCGAAACGTGCAATCCCTCCAGAACTCTCAAGTTCTCCCATTGGAAGCACCTTGTACCACCGAAAAGGTTGCCTGATTTGCTCTTAGGAGTTAATAATAGTGGTCACGATCCCCCGCTCCACGTGCAATCGATTGGCACTTTGCCCCAGGTGAAACTGTTCCACATGGCGAAACCCGTAAACCCTTCCATACCGCCTCCCGTCGTTGATGATGGTGGGGAAGATGCTGCTAGCCAACCAGGACTAGCGCTTCTCGGTCTGCTCGGTGTCGAGTCATCGTCATCACTGCCAGCATCTACATCATCGTTCTCAGCGGCTTCACCCTCCCCCGCTTCTGTTGATTCATCTAGCACCACCTTTCACGCTCCTGTCGGTGGTGCGGGGATAGTGAACGGAGGGGATAATTCCCACCCATCGACCACCTCTGCACAGCTGCCTTCAGACGTGCAAGGTGGAAGTTTTGTCGGCAGCAGTAGTCATAGTGGAGACGGGCCTGGCGGGACGGAAGGGGGACCAGCGACCGGACGCACGGTCGGAGCAAGCAGACTCTTCAAGGGCTTTGAAAAGACGGAGACAGTAGTAAGGAGGAAGAAGCTGGCGCCGCCACCCCCACCGGCTGGAGCACCTCCGCCAATACCCCCTTCTGGCGAAGGAGAGCACGTGACACATCGGTAAGAGAGAAATAATCGCGTTTATTCCGTAAAGCTAGCTAGCGTCGCCCCTTCGCATCATGTGTTTGCACTGCGTGGTTGTTTTCCTCAACGAGGAGGTGCCACAAGCCGAAGGGTGTGGGTGGAGGAATACCCTCGGCAAGGTCTATGATTTCCATTTTTTCGCCCTGAGGGGCTCAACGCGTGGTAGTCAGAGAGGATATATCGCCATGTATGGTATGGTCTGTTTTTGTTTGTATCGATGACGTGAGGTTGACCTCTGTCATGAGGACCAGTAATGTTAAGGAGCAGTTGTTTTTACTGATGATGCAATGCATACCGTCAAGGCCTTCCAAGGTCTCCGAACCAAGCATGAGTTGAAAGCCGACCTTTTTGTCGAAGCAATAGCAAGAACTCAAACTTTGAAAGAGTGCTCTCAAGCAGGTGCTATTCCAGCTATGTGTTGCGGCCAGGCCTGTGAGTTTGAAAACGCTCATGACTGTGAACTCTTGTTATGCCGAAATGACGCGTGCTGGAGTAGTGCCGATACCGCCACACATCCCATTTTCGACTCCCTTAGTTTTTGACAGTACGCATTTGCAAACTGCAATCCGTTGCCTCCGCACAGATACCCGAAAGATATTTGGCCAGGGCACAAACCTCCAAATCACATCGTCGGAGGGGAAGGGGCAAACGATGGCGAGAGAGCTGGGGATGAGGAACAGCTCGAATTTTTCTGCGACGGGTGCGACGAGACGATTCCCAGCGGCGTCGAGCGCATGGAGTGCGCGGTGTGCCCTGATGAGTTCTGTCTGTGTCATGCTTGCTACGACGAGGGAGAGGTGGGTGATGCTCGTTGAAGTGTGCGATAGCTGTGTTGTACAGGTCCCAGTGTATCAGCCGTTTACTACACGGGCTCAAGTTTTGGAAAGTTTTCCCGTTGTATCTTCGGTCGGTAGGTTGATTCGGCGTTTCATCGGCCGATATATACACAATGGTGCCACGATGGTCACCGTCGCCGCAAAGACGAAGTGTTTTTTCCTTCTCCTGCCGTTGCCTCAGGTCCTCTCGTTCACTTGGATTTTGTTGTTCACTCAAATATAGTTGAGTCAGCTATCCGTTCAGTGATGATGCATCGATCACCCATCCATCAGTACCTGAAGGTTAGAGTTTTGGATTCTTGCTTCGTGTTGCTGGTTGTCGACAGTTGCTGGCCTCACAGCACCTTGCCCCCGCGTGTGGTTTCCCCAGCAGCCCATGTTTGCGCGTCGATCCAAGGCAATGTTGTATGTGTTAGGTTAAATATTGTTGTGGTTTTTCTGACCATAGAAACGCTTACCTACACAAATGAAAGCACCGACCGTACCGCGGTCTCAATGTACCTTGTTCATTTGCGCAGGTCCTTGATAAACGGCACAAGCATGAGCTCCTGCCCTCCGCAGCTCCGTTTCACGTTACGCGTGCTGCCCCGAGCGCCGCGGCGGCGCTGGAGGCAGCGAAAGCGTTGCATGTTGCCGAGGCACACCACGGGCAAGGCTTGGCCTACGATGAGGCCGACCTAGGATAAAAGCTCTACAACGCTTCCTTGGACGTTGTGATAACGGGGGTTGGTGTTGCATGCCCAGTGCACTGCTGTAATTTGCGTCCATGTCGTGGTTCACAGTCGATGACACGTCGGATAGATGCCTCATATGTGTTGGTGTTGGTGTTCGTTTTGGTGTAGAATCCGCGATTTTCCGGCCATGACAAGATAGAACTGGACGCCAGTCGCACTTGGACGACAGCAGGATGTCCTCATTTTTTTTTTTTATTACGGTATCTGTGGACACAACCACCGAACTTGCCTAGGTAGCCACACACCAGACACCTAGGGTATGAGAGAGACCAAACAAAGGGTCTCGACAGGTCGAAATAATAAGTTCACTCATCGGAGGTTGAGAGCATCTTTCCATCATGGTATTGTATGCATCGGCTGTTCGCCATAGAGAATCGTGTCGGATTGCGAATCCGACGAAAGTATATGTTGTAGGCATGGATCAATTCATGTCGGTCGAGGCCACAACCCATAGGGAGGTCTATAGAAGCCGAAATCAAACCAGCTTCTATAGGTCGACACAGCACTGTGCCGGCGACCGACAAGAAAACAGTGTTGCGGTTTGAGTATTCGGATGTTCGTGATTATTCCCTTAGCAGTGACGGCTGTTTGCCTGTTTTAGGCCGTGGTGTGCCTGTTGCACTCTGTGTTTCTCCCGGTGGGACGACTGGTAATCCTCAAGATGAACCGTGCATCATGCTTAGACTATGCTGGTCAGCGCTAACACTAGCCGGTGCGAGATCGCACGCAGTTGTTGAGGTGAGATCGCCCGCACTGCTGTTTGCCCATGTATCAACAACAGTCATACCTCACGACACTCCACCAGCACCGGGTGGAGACGTAGCCCTGACCGACGTGGGATGCTCGTGAACATATTCCGCGTCATACATTCCCGAACTCCCTGGGTTTTGCCGGGGGAAAGACTGTTAAGGTTTTAGCCGGAAGGCCACATTTTTGGCCCGTCCTCAGTTAGTTGTGCACGTCGTCAAAACATTAACTTTTCTCGACGGTGTTCGAAAGGGAAACAGGTGTATATGCCAACAGCTACCCGCTTGTACGCTGACGAGGTCACGATGTACAGTAGTAGTCTGATGCGCGTAGGAACCAATGCCATCATATGCACAGTCTACCCCGCCGAGATAGGTACTCGTCGACCGCGTGTGAGTCCTTTCCGTGTCACGCTGCAGCATAACGAGCGGATTTTTTTTACCTCAGGAGGGAACCACCCCACCTCTCTTCGCCAACGGTTGCAGCTACAGTATACCTTTTGCAATTGTAGGTTTGTTTCATGTTTGTGACCAACCGCACAGCACGGCACCATGGTGTTGTTGCCGACTTTGCGGCTTTGTTCCACACATGTGCGCACGCACTCTCCTTCACATGTGTCATTGTCCTGCCAGCAGTGAGTACAGCCGCGACTGCTCTCCAAGGCCCCACAGACTCGGGGGAAATCCGAAACAGAGTTCACGTGCATGCGGCCGGGAGGTCGAAGCCGACGACTTTCCTCAACGGTTGCAGCAACTGGTCACATTCTCTCTCATCAACATGTGGCTCTCTCCGTGTGTTCGCCGGCGGGCTCAGAGCATCATCATGTGGATGTAGATCCTATCGACAGAGAGACTACAGCAGTGCGAGGCCGCGATTGGTGGCAGTCCCAGTTTGCTTCATATCTACATGTATCGGAGAGAGATGAGGACACATGTACGGCAAACTCTGCGTAGTAACCGCGCAAAGGCACGAGACCTGTGGTTCTTTTGTTTTTGGATGGAACCACACACACACAACACCACGCAGTCAGCCAACTTGGATTAGCCGAGAGCCAAGAGCATGGGATCCATACATCACGTTTGTTGTTCACTGCATGCAGTGTGAGATGTTCTTATGACCACGTTTTATGGCCTGCCTGGGCGGTGAGAGGAAGGGAGTAGAGAGTTTTTGTTTCGTCAAGCACACACGCTGGACCGTGCAGGGTAGCAGGTAGGCGCACTGGGGGACAGAGATTGAGAGAAAAAACGCCGCGTTGCAACGGAAAACCGACGAAAGAAACCGCCCAATAAAATTAAGGAAAATATTTTAGTCCACCGCTTGCTTCCTCGAAGAAATCGACAACCGACCTCACTTACGTCGGCCTCATCGGCTTTCGGTCTAGCGAGTCTGGCGTGTGGATATCAGTGATCGTCCACGTCTTGATCCCCCTCCTTCACGTGTGGAGCGCCACCTGCTGCGCGGTAGGCGGGGGAGGAAAGGTTTGTCGACTTTTTGCTACGAATGTCTGTGTATCGTACCGCCGTACAGCGGATGTTCAAAAAGGGAGCTGTTTTACCGTCAAAGCTGCAAGCTACAGTGTAGACAAGTCGACAACCCCGCCTTTCGCCATGAATCACAGTGGTGCTGTACCACCCGCCCCGTTCGCTCAATATACAACGTTGAGCATGTTCTTCTTCTATCCCTTCCTGAGGACCTGCCGCAGCGGAAAGCGTGGAGCGTCACTGCCTTTGAACGATCCCTGATGATCCTCCGTTATCGCCCCCCTTTGCCCCTTTCGCCCCTTTCTTGGCACACTGGACGCACATCCACATGTACCTCCTGTGACAGTTCTACAGCACGACCGAGCTTGTTCGAATCTTGTTCCAGGTGAGGCAAGGAAGGGTGTGTGATGCGCTGGTGTTAGCAATCGTGTTACATACATCGTGGGGCATATCATGTTCGTTTTGCAACTGTGGTGGGTTCCTCGACTCCTCCACCTTCATGAGTGACTACTGTATGCTCCATATGCGAAGAGGAAAGGTATTGCATATGTATATTTGCTCTACTCCCGCATCTAGCGAGCTTGCTTTTGATTATTCCCTTACCTCTATTACTGCTGTTCGACACCAACCGCAGGCGGCCATTGCTACCACCAATTGGGAAACACACCTCTCCCCGGCTCACATAACACGTAGTAATATCTTCAGATGCACCGCTGTCACAAAAGGACAATGATCAGCCTCCATCTTTGGGACAGCAACGAAACCTCTGTAATATTACTGTAGCCGACACCCGGCTTCGACGCTCCCGCGCTCTAGACAAATGTCGCCAATGCCGCCACGTGCCGCACACTATTGCTGTACTCTAAACACTAAACGTGACGAAAAACTCGAAAACTCCCTGCACAGCATCACCACACGTACCACCAGGGAAGAACGTTGACAAAAGCAGCACTCTTCCCTTCCGATGGAATAGTGGCCGAACACACGTAACTTGCTACATTTGTCTACCGCGAACATCACGGAAGAAACCTAGAGATGGTTTACAGGCAACAATCACCCGTTTTTTCGCGTCCTGGCTAGCGATGACGCCCTCTTTTGGCTTCCAACACAACCTGTGTCGAACAGCCCGCATCTGTAACCACGTCTACAGTACGTTTGTTTCTTCGTGGCATGACCCTCAACGTTAGGTTAGAAATGAGACCTAGATCCTTAATCATCATCAATTGCTGCACAAGTGGAACAGTTGTTCCGAAGACTACGATGATGCCTCCACTCTTCTGCAGGCTTGGTCCTTGATTACATGCACTTGCCCTATCAAGACTAGACTACTTGTAACAGTATGGCGATACGTCTCGTCCACCTTCTCACGAGAACGAGGAAGAACCACCCCCTTTTATCTTGGCCCCAATGTTGTGCTCAACCAGCTACAGTACGTGTGACATTGATTGTACGGAATGCCTTGCTGCCGCTTACATCACGCCACCGTCCTCAGGTGGCAGCCTGTTGTTTTTTCAATGCCTCGAAACGCGGACGAGGAGGGTGTAGAATCTGCCTCGTCTGATCCCAACGGGTGAGTGTACAGATTCAAATTGGTCGGTGCTCCGGTAGCATTAACTTCACATACTTTTTCCCATCATTTGGGCAGATCCGCGAGATATATTTTTCGCGGTGGTTGGATTTTGCTCTGATTCTCTTCGTTACACTTGTTCTACGGCTTGCTCGTGACCACAATATTCATGGCCAAGTGTAGGGAAGAAGAGGTACCACCGCTACAGTGGTATGTAGAGCTGTTCAATCCAACAGCCACAACAGCAAAAGGAGAGGGTTCGACTCAGTTCTACACCATGTCTCTGGGTTCAAAACCTGTAGTTGGTTGCTTTCGTGGGGGTGCATAACAGCAAGTTGAATCGAAACATTTCGTGTTGCCGCATTCGAGGTTGCCGGTATGCTGTCACACATGCCACGCCTGTCACCTAACGCGCCCTGGTATCCGGAATTGGGCTTTGCGAGCGTGAAACACCATTCCAGGGATATTAACATCGGCATTACGGGAAACGTGTTTGGCGGCGGAATCACGACGAGCACGCTCCATTGAGAAAGTGATGCTGACTGCAGAAATGCTGGGACCATGGTCATGCTGCTCTTTTCGTTTCATCTTCGTGATCGTGTATGCCTTGCACAGGGCGAGCAATGATTGTGAGCTGGACAGTTCTAGCACTTCCGAAGCTGCGCGAGGCCAAGCCAGCAGCAGGCAAGGGAATACGAACATGGTTTCTCGCTTCACCAAATAAACAACCATAGTATACATTCACCAAGGATTTGCTGGTTACTTTCCCTGCTGTCAGAGAGTGGACGAGTTATGTACCAGGAGTTGTGCCGCGGAGGCTTCGATATTGTTTTAATGGAAATTTCTGTGCTTTCCTGCTCGGAGAGTTTTCATCGCTGCTAACATTTTAGCCGCTCCAAGTCAATTTTCCTCGTAGCTCGACGTTCCGATCACCTCTCGATCCAGACGAAGGGTCCGGCTACGTTTCAGGCAACACATCGGGAAACGGCTGCCATGCCTATTCCCCCTCTTTTGCGGTTTAAACGACTGCCCCCAAATCGACACTACACGTCAAGCCCCCCGCGATAGGTTGGGTACGTTCTCCAGCTCCCGACTCTCTCCCAACTCCTCTCGATCCTGCTTCTCCTTCACACACTCGGTTCTCCTCCATTCGACGAGCATGTACTGAGCCATAAACCTTGACAACTCAACCGGACGTTCATACGGTGAACGAACGTCCTCGAATATTGTACCACACGAGAGTACGTGGTGACTTTGATTCTGAATCTGCGGACTGATTGTTCTTTGACAAGTCGCAGGCATGGTCCATGCCTCATTTACGACGGCACAGGCCTGACCAGTGATTGTCGGACATTCGGTGACGGCATGGCGTGCCTTCGTCGTCCATGATGAAGCCCGCGCCTCACGTCGTGGTCTCGTTTGGTATTCTAAGCCGACCGAGACCACTCTGTTAGACATGGTTTTGAGAGACTGTTTTAACGCGATATGGTGCGGAGCATCGCTAGCGGCCAGAGTTGTAGTGTTGAATCGAGCATTATCCCACCAGCCAGCGTACTTCGGCGTAGAGCCGTGGGAACAACGTGATGTACCATCCTCGACACAAGCCTTCCCTCGCTCGCCGATTGTGGTGGTCGAGCGTGTATCTCGAGTTCCACACAAAACAAACTACGACCGTCAATCGACGCTTGGCAACCTGGCCGGCCCCTATTTTGTGTCGGGTTTGTAATAATGACCTAGCTCGGCACCGAATTCGTCGAAGCAGCAGAACTCTTTCTCTTGTGAACGATCGCACGGGGTGTCTGTACTGCCGATGTCATTCTCTAGTCGCCTTGCTGCTTGTCGCTTGCCATCTGTGCACGATAGAACGGCCTTTCTCTCGGCCCCACGCCTCCCTCCCGTCCTGGCTCAGCCTTTGCTCGAGAGCCGAGCTTGATGTCGAGTGTGGTGCCGTGTGCTCTATGGCAGTGCAACAGATTAGCACTACGGAACTAATTCATCGTGTAATGAGACCTCATTATGACTTCATCACATTCCAACCGTATACGAGTATTGAGTCAATAGGTGAAGCTCACCTTGTGGCGACCGTGTTCGTGTGAAACGACGTCGACTTTGTGACTCTGATGGTGTTCGCCAAACACATAACCACCGAATATTCATGGTGTTATTCTTGCTACGTGCCGTATTCAACGAGCGATATGCGTATGATTGGTTCAATAAATGTGCCTTGCGGGTAGCCTGTACTCGAGGTCAGGCAATGTCGTTTGTTTGTTATAGGTATTATAGATGTTGTTGCACAAAGTTACGAAAACCCCGACAAGACGGACTACAGTAGCTCCCTAATACATCGGGCGACTTGCCAAACAATACTCGGGCCGGCTTGGAATCTACCAGAACGCTTGTTGGTAGTCCCTGGAAGCACTTGGAGACCCTGACGATGCGACATGCATTGAGATGCTGACGTTCAGTACTGCTTTACCGCTTCCATGCATCGCGTTGGCGCCGAAAAACGAGAGGAAAGGAGCTGATTTGAACACACTTGCCAGAGCGCGCCCCGAACGACGCGGTGACAGAACCTTGTGAAGAATAGCAGACACCGAAAGTGGCCGAGGGGTTGCCTGGGAGAAGTCGTATACCCTGCACAATGCAAACGGGAGATATAGGTCAAGTAGCGATGGGTGTGTCTATCATAGTGATATAGAGAGATGGTCATAGTAAGGTAGGTGGAGCCCTTCGTATCGAGAGGTACATTGTACCTTCGTCATTTTCCACGCGGTCAAGAACTGCCGATTGATTTGATTAAAAACCCTCCAGAAAACCCAATCCGGGAAATGGAAGTGGTAGGCCTCGTCGGCAATAAACCGGCGTTGATCACCAGCACAGCAGGCTTGTCGGGGTGCGAGTACGTCTCGATCTCGGGGTGTATTGCTCCTCCGTCGCCAGCGTTGGAGCTGTGTCGTAGCTGGCTCTTGAATCCAAACGTTCTGATATGTAGGTCATGCCAGAGAGAGATTTAATGGAAGATACGTTCCTCTTTGGTACGCGGTGGTGGGAAAGTAGTTGGAGAGGAAACAAGCTCAGTCTAGCGCGAGAGAAAACGATCAATGCACACCGCCTTATGTTGTACCCGATGGTAATCGGACACGTGATTCGACGACGCGTCCATGAGGCCAATTCTTGTCATGCAGATTACGTTCGATAAATCGTGCCATTTAAAAGTAGGATATCGCTTGCCTCTGTGATGGTTTCGAGACACTGTAGTGAATTGTAGCCAGCACACGTTCGCTCGTACATAACGCCGCGTTGTCACTGTCCGTATGCCGTTATCTACGCCAGGGCACCGCTGACTTTGTGTCTGTCCTTTGTTTTCCTTCGCTGGTGAATGTTCTGATTGCCTCTGTCGCTCGTTTCAACCAGCTTGGCGATATTTGTTTCTCTCTCTCTCTCTCTCTCTCTCTCTCTCTCTCTCTCTCTCTCTCTCTCTCTCTCTTCTAGCCACAGTATGCGCTGGTCAGGGCGGTTATTACGGCAACGGGAGCAAACACACCACTCGTCGTCGAATCCAAGGTAATAGTTAGACCTTCATGCACCTGCACTTACGCCATATTTTTATGATTTGCGCTCGTACAGCAACCCACCTGTTGGTTTGTTGTATGACCCTTGCCCTATCCGCCATATCCATCTATCTATCTGTGTTGTCCTACATGTATGCCAAAGCAGGTCCGTACGATGTCGGTGCGCGCCCCCCGAAGGGCCCGCATGCGCTAGCGGAAACAATGGTGCTGAACCTTCGTTTGAGAAGTGAGTTGTATTTCTCCCCCGCATGCGCTTGCGGAAACAATGGCGCAGAACTTTCGTTTGAGAAGTGAGTTTTATTTCTCCCCCGGTGGTTTTCACTTGTAGATAAACGAGAGAGACGAACAAGAATAATCGTACACCGAGGTACGCTAGAGTTGTTGATGAAGCACGCACACCCCCTTCCATTTTATGTAAGCGATACTGACATAATGTGTCCGTGGCAGTCGGTCATCAATTTTAATAGGCCTATCCACCGATTGTCGACAGACGAAACGAAGCCGAGCTCGACGTGGAGAGGAACACCACACACCGGCAGGGTGGTGCTCAAGAAACCGTGCAGGAAAGGGGTCCTCAACAGGCAGGGACGGTACAGGAGGGTGGGGAGTCCGGGCTGCACCAGGTTCGTTCCGCCGGAGACGCCCGAACCTTGTAGACCTATGGGCCACAAACGCCAATGGACAGGTTTGAAGTTGTCAACTCAAGACCCCGCCGCTTGGCTCTGCGCTTTTCACTTCTTTCCGATCAGGTTGTCAGTCGGTCTGTTGGAGGGGGTGCGGGTGCCACCGCAAATCCTGTAAGTCCGTTCTACAAGAATCCGCTTTGCCGAGGCTAAAGACAAAATAAATGGATGCAGATGTGCCATTTTGAATGCATGTGTTACTTTGACTTATCGTATCGTTGTGTTTCCTGCACGCACAGCCCTGTAGAGGGCAGACAGCTATTCTGTCGTACTGCACGCACGATAGAGCAGCTCAGTTGCATCACTACCGGTTGTGGGGTACACACACTTCTGTGACCGAGTTCTTTCCTTTCATTACGAAGACATGGACCGCCACGTCGCGCAACTCCGTTTCGCCTCTGGTTGTTTCTCAAAGTTGTGCATCCGTTTGGTTCCCTGCGTGTTGGCACCTTTAGGCCTCGCAATCTCCTAGCGTTCAAGAATCGGCCGACTCGCCACACCCCGCAACTCGTCCAGACTCCAAAGCAGCTGAAAGATTCATGCAGGTAACTCTGTTGGAATTGCTCATATTTGCCAGGCCATTGATGCGCTGCTACATGCCATTGATGCTGTGGAGCAGCAGAACGCAAGGCGCTCAACTGTACTATGTGCGGAATAGCGTTGCACTATATCCAGCCGCCCCATTGCTTGAACCTGACGGGTCTGCTTCTTGATTCGACATCAGGACGTGCGAAAGGAGGACGCGCTTCTGCTCGGGTCCGTGGGGCAAGATCTCTTTCGTACGATCTCAAGCATGACGAGCACGGAGTTCAGGAAACGAGCCAACAACGAGATCAACAACGCCAAGGAATTGGTACGGACGGCAGCAGTGTCATGAATATCCGGGCTAGAGTAGTATGGTGGCCACCCTCCTGGCGAAGGCTAAGGTTCCACGAAACAGTCTCGAACCTCTTGGTTGTTCCGGTTTTCGACGGTGGAATTGGTGCTTGAATGTTGTTGCCCCGACCAGTCACCGAGCACCCTGCAGCTTTTCCTGTGTCACAATGTAAATTATGACTAAATACGTAGTGACTGCCCAGTTCCTCCCGGGTTCGAGTGGCGCCACTGCCGCGAGTGTTTCGCCCTTGGCGAAGTATCGTGTCGACTGCGTTTATGGTGAACAAGCTCGACTGTTGCCTTGTCTCAACGACACATTCCTCGGTGTGTGGGGTAACTCTCTTTTGTTTGTGGCTGAAATTACACTACAGCAGTACTCTGGCTTGAAACGCGTGTGGAGGTGCTCGTTCGTGATACGTGCCTAGTCCTTGGAATAATGCCGTTGTTTGCAACTTTGACCGGACGAAACAGGTCAAAACCAATCACTCATTGGGTAATCTCGATTTCCGATCAGTTCGGCCGGAGGCGATCCCCAGCCTGGAACAGAAACACCAAGCCGGTTTGCAGGTACTCCGCGTACCTACGGCATAGTCTAGGTGACGCGGCGAGGTCATTCCTTAAGCTGACCAGCAAAACAGTGAGCGGTGCGCCTCTCTTTTGGTTTTTCGGTTGATGCTGACCTTCGTCCCATGCGATACGGCAACAGCGATGGCATACCTTTCTGAGATGATTGTGCTCTCCCTAGAACGGCTCGCGCGTAGGATGCCAGGATATTCTGGATGCCATCTCAACCCTGTTGCTCCGGTCGTGTCAATCACGTCATGTCTATGCCAAGAGGGACTTGGTGCGCTTGGAAAAGGAGAGCGAAGGTACATCGAGGCCGTGCAAACGGGGATGCAAGTCCTGTGGGGGCGTCGTCTGTAAAGTTTGCCTGCAATCGTGCAGGAAAGTGTCAGCACCCCTCCGACTGCACTGCAGCGGCTGCGACACGTGCATTGAGGCGAACGGTGAGCCTTGGGAGTCCCCCATACTATTGACAAAACAAACGCTTGCTGAAATCTCCGAGCCCCGGAGGCACGTGGTGTTATTTTGACAGCTATGTCGTACAGTCACGATCCAATTGACCCCACTGCCGCCGCCGTGTGGTCACTTTTGGTGCCCAGCTACGGTTTATGTGTCCGACAATGGCGAGGATGTCCGATGCCCAACATGCTTCAAGGCCTTCACCAATGACACGTCTAGTCCCATGACGTACCATAAAGTTAGCGAAGGACCCGACTCCACGGAGAACTGGTACCAGTGTGACAAATGCAGTACCAGCAGCCAAGACGTTTGGGTTCATCAGGTAACTAACGTGACTCTTGTAGCGTAGGTACGGTGTGCGCTACCGTATTGTTTATGCAGAATGCAAAACCCGCTAATCTTCTGTAGGTTAACGTTGCTGTCGATGGCAGAAAATCGAGGATGTCCTTCGTCAGCCCGGGATCATGCAAACAAAGTCGGTCATTGTTGGACAAGCATCTTTTTGGTCGACAACTTTCTTTTGTTTTGGTCTTCCAGCGGGCTGGATCGACCAAGACCCTTAGCTACATGTCTCAAACCGTGTAAGAACCGGGATCACAAACACACCGAACGTTGGCGATGCTGTGTCGAAATTTCCTTCCGTGCGATTGTCGACAGGCCTGCCTAGGCTACGCACCGGAGGAGACGGTGGGTCAGCCTACTCAGTGTCCAATGGACACTCGGACCAGTCGGACCCCGTGTATGGCACACGTGAGTGATGCCACCCCCGGGATAGCCTAGAGTCCGCCCCAACAACGCCAAAACACGCAAGCCCCGAATCACCTCCTACCATGATTTCTACCCCTCTCAATCGTGGAAATCGAGCAGCACGTAAGCAGCACGTAAGCCACCATGGACTGGGTGCGGACATTCCTTTTGCTTCCAAAACCTCCTTGCTCGAGCTTCATCCTGTGCATCGATTTGGTTGCGGTCTCGGGCCTCTTGCTCTGTCCCTGCAGGAATCGTTTCGGGCCTCGAGTGTCGCGGATAGTCCAGATGCGAAGTACATCGAAAAGTACGTACGGAACAAGTTTGATTCCGTCAACGAGGGAGACGTCGGAGAAACCCTTTTTGTGACCCTCGCTGCAAGCGTAAAGGTGGGCAATCTGTTTTTGTGGGCACCAAACCAGATCAGAAACACGTTTTCCCCCTTTTGCCACACCCACGGCATTGCACATGGAGCAGATTTTTCAATACGGAGGTACTGCCGCAATCAGAATTCAGCAATTTGTTGAGCGCCTTGTGTATCTTGTTTTTTCAGCAACACTCTTGACTCTTGCATATGAGCGGCTAAGTTTGAACGTAGAATTGAATGATAGTGTTGAGTTTTTTTTTTACTTCCAATCGTCTTTCTGGTGCTGCTCTGTCCTGGCAACAAACTCCGCAGGATGTGGAACACGTGCCCGAGAACGTGCGTGAAATGTTTTGCACCCGAGTGTCCACGGCAAATGGCGTGGAGGGTCGCGATCTGCCCGAAGATGCCAGGTATGAGCACAATGCTGAAGTAAGTTCTCATCTGCTCGAAACATGCGCTTTCGTCAGGTGACCGCAGATGTTCCTGTCCTTTGAGTCGATCTCGTCGCCTCACCACATATCATGATCGTTAGAACGGGCATGGTGATCGGTTTGAACGGCCGATTTCTCACCATGGACATGCATTGACTTCGTTGGGGTTCGAAGACACTATGTTGCGTCTTACATCTTGTTGGTGGTGCTCGTAGTGTTTGGTCTGCTGTTTGTTTTCCACATTCGAATACGAGTGATCAGGTCTCTTTTTCTTTCGGTTAGTTGGGCCTACAACAGCATTTGCCGCTCGTCCTCTGTCGCAAGTGGCGTGAAATCCTCTTTGCGGCTGCAATTTTCGTGCGCCAGCTTGGCATGTACAGGCGGGCGATGTGCTGGATGCAAGAGTTCAAACGTGAGCGCAAAGTACACTTCAACATATCGCTACCAACACCAACAATGACAATGAGCAGGTCCAACGTCAAGAACCCTATTCTCAGTATGTCAACGACAGCAACAACAACAACAACGGCAACGAAGTGAGGTAAATAGGGCGCTGGCGGATATCGCTGCCTGAACTTCACTTCCTCGCAAGGAGAAGTTCCTGATATTATTCGTAAGTTTCCGTGGTTTCACCATGGAAAAAGTACTGCGGAGAATAACGAGGACATCTCCGATATTTTCTACGCCGCCCATTGCGATACTTACCTGAACAACACCAGGTTCTCGAGACAGACTTTTCTCGTGTGGCAAAATCAAGGTGCCTTTGACATGTTGCTACTTATGATGTACTGGGACAAGTACGAGGTTAACCCGGCTGGGTACCACTCGAACACGACACGGTTGGAGATGGTCGACACCGGTGAGGCTCTTCACTAGACTGGCAGATTCATAGACACAAATTGCACCCAGCCAAACCGTTGTCAGAACCTGGGCATAGTCGGGTCGACAGTGTGTACGCACGCACAAGGACGACCACAACGGACGACCCGTCTGCTTCCCTGGCCTGCAGTACATGCTTGTTGGCCTTGTCCGTTGACAATATAAAATTGTTGCTTGCTGTGCTTCGTTGACATCGTTTCCACTGCGTCGACTGCCACGCCTCGCCTTGCAGTTTCGTACCTTATTGGTAGTCACCACAAGACAGGCTTGAACCGCTGGGTGATATCTGCCGGGATAGCCTGCTCCCTGAACAATGGAGCCGAGCAGGTCGTACTTTGGAGCTCCCCAGCAAACGGTCGGTACTTGTTTGACCACCCCCGCCACCAGAACATGCCGGGGCACGGGCGGCTCGATGGTTTCTATCACTCCACCGGGCGGTGAGTTATTTGCATGTTGACATGCTTCTAAATCTTCCAACGTGTATGGCATTTCTCGTTTCTGGTATATTTTCCAAGTTTGGAACTTTGTAGCCTACATAGCGATCCATCGTTCATCTCCACTCGAATTCCCAATTCTATGGGAACTTTTTGCCGTGCCTGCTTTTAGAGATTTCGCAAACGCCGAGGCGGAGAGAGGTTTTCATGGGTCATCGATGGAGAGCCTACTGTCCGGCGGAGAGGGTATACTGTCTCAAGACTGGCAACCCAGTCACGTGGGGCTCCCGGTAAGCGCGGCAACACGAGCAGGGTTCCTGTTGGTGAGGGAGCACATTGGCCTTGCCTGCACAACCGTACATGCCTAGTCTACACGTAGAGCGTGGAGTCGCTCGTCCAGCTACACGGTGCTAGAACTTGCTAGAAGTAAGGCGACGAACGCAAGGTGTCCCGCATAGCGCAGCGCTGGATTGCTTTGCATATTTCACTCGACGACGACGCCCGATGCGGCGGGCCTCCTCGAAGCTCGACGTATCTCCAGCGACAGCGGCACGTTTCGACTCCTGTACTTTCGTTCACGCTTCGCGCAGATCCCTGCCCACGTGCCCGCGAATTTCCTCGCTAGTGTGTGCCGCGATGCTGATAGGTCTCTCGAATCCTACTCCAGGGAGGTCGAGGAACTTCCTCAGAAAAGGCTGCGAAGACAGAAGAGGTGGCCCGACGAAGACGATCCGCCACCCATCCATTCACGTACCAAACCAGCACAGACGATGGAAACAAGACAGGAGGTGTGCGGACGTCGTTCGGCAATTCATTGTGTTGCGGTGTTCTCGACTGAGATAAGAGGGGAGTCAGCACGGCATGTGCATGGCGGTTGGGGCAAGTGCCCGTGTTATGATTCAGTCCTACAATCCACGTCGCTTGAACTAGATATACAACGAGCACCAACAAATAATAGTCCACCTGATTCCCCCGACCCCGCGGTGCTATTCTGGCAAAAGTTTCCACTCTTTTCTCTCCACCTCTCAGCTTAAGAGTTGAAAGGCATGACAACCATTTCAATATGATGATGACGCCCCTATTGCGTGTGGCTCTGTTGCATGTTGACACAGAACGTGTGCAAGCAGTATCGCACCGAAGCGGAACACGTATTCGTGTGCAGGCGGGGCGAACAGGGTCAGCGAAACATAGGAGCCACTTCTGCTGTCGATAGTGTAGCTGATAACACTGCTGGAGCTAGCTCGGAAGGAGCGAGTCCCAGAACTTCGGTCTCCTGCCCGATCTTCCACGGTCGAGATTCTTTCCTGGAGACTGTCAGGGTGAGGGCTGGGGATTGACAGATATTTGTTGCGTGTCAATGGCCTGCGTCTTTGTCGAAGTACACACACTCAATTATTAGTGTGGGGCCAAAATATGGTTGCTGCTTGCTGTGCTTTCAATCCTTCTCCCGGAAACGAAGGCACAATCCCTTCAATTCTAAACCCGAACGGCACGACACTGTCTTTAGGTTTGTTTCTTTCATCATTCACGCATGTGTGATTCGTTTGTCCCGCCTGCCACGGCCCGTTATTGGCCACTGAACAGGCAATGTGCCTCCAGTTCTGTAGCCGCAGGTTGGCCAGATATTCTTCCAGGTGCCTCCTGTTGGCTATACTGCGGCCTCAAGAGGGCATCAATGCCTTGATTCCGACATGCACAAAGTGCACAATAAATTCGAACGAAGACGACGATGGTTCGGGAGGTGTCCAAATCACCGGCGTGCGATACCACTGTGCTAGTTGCCGGGAAAACTGGTGAGTTGGGCGAGAGTCACATTCCGCTGGGTCGGTCACGTCGCATACAGTATAAGGCTCAGAACGTGCATTTTCCAACTTTTCTGTATGACGGTTTCGAACAATTCGCTTTGTCGAGGTTAGGGTGACGACCGTTATAGGTGCAATCTCATATTCCACGGTTCTACAACCTCCCTAGACCTCTCTTCGGCGCAAACGATTGTCTTCCGCCAAACGTGCGTTTGTGGCTTCCCACATATCTTGATCATAT